AAGAACATGATGGAGATTATGATACAAAAACTTCAGAGACAGCGGCTTCGCTCCAGGCCCCAGGGCCTTACGGGTATGGAGGACATGGAGGGAGTCATGGGAGGTGGTCATGGAAGGAGTAGAAAAGGAGGAGGACTCCAGGGGTCACATGTGTGCCCGCTGCCCAGAGGCCGAGCGTCGGGAGCTGGAGCAGGAGGCCAAGGAACTAAAGAAGGTGATGGATCTGAGCATTGTGCGGCTGCGCTTTTCTGCCTTCCTTCGAGCCAGTGATGGCTCCTTCTCTCTGCCCCTGAAGCCAGTTATCTCTCAGCCCATCCATGACAGCAGTGAGTATCCTGATCACCTGGGGCCTGGGTGCCAGAGGGAGCATGGAGGGCAACCTTGAACTGTGGAGTCAGATAGGCCTGGGTTTGAACTTGGCCCCACCATGTATGAGCTGAGTGATCTTGAGCAAGTCATTTCCCCTCTCTGAGTATGGCTTCCATCTTGAGTAGATGAAGATACTAGCAGTTCCTGTACCTTTGGGGTTGTTCAGATAATACAAAGCCCCTGGCTTCATAATTGGGACCATGGCTATTATACCCTCTCAAGTAATTGATATCCCATCTCCATAGAGTCTCCTGGAGCCTCAAACCTGAAGATTTCTCGAATGGACAAGACAGCTGGCTCTGTGCGGGGTGGAGATGAGGTTTATCTGCTTTGTGACAAGGTGCAGAAAGGTGAGGCTGGAGCCTAGGCTGGGAGCTAGGGATGTTGGGTATCAAGCTTGGGGACCGGGACAGCTCCAGGACAAATGGCCCTGGAGATTCTACTAGGAGCTGTGGCCAAACTTCAATTTCCCCTGTAGATGACATTGAGGTTCGGTTCTATGAGGATGATGAGAATGGATGGCAGGCCTTCGGGGACTTCTCTCCCACAGATGTTCACAAACAGGTACCCTAGGGCCAGGGCTGGGCCTGGGCCGAAACTAGGCCAAGGCCTTAATACACCTTATGTTCTCCTTCCCCTAGTACGCCATTGTGTTCCGGACACCTCCCTATCATAAGATGAAGATTGAGCGTCCTGTAACTGTGTTCTTGCAGCTGAAACGCAAGCGTGGGGGGGATGTCTCTGACTCCAAACAGTTCACCTATTATCCTCTGGTGGAAGGTGGAGCTGGGCTGAAGATCCCACGGGGGCTGGAGGGTGGGGGCTTGGCTGGAGGGTCCCAAGAACTAGATCAGGGGACCCATGAGTCAAATCAGGAGTAGGGAAGGTCCCAGGAAGAGGTGACCCTAGGAGCCAGCCTGAGGGCTTTCAGGGGAAAGGCCATTACCAAACATGGGACAGGGCTCTTGAAGCAAGGCGTGAGTTGGGGTTTTAATATCTCATTTGCCTCTCCCCCCAGACAAGGAGGAGGTGCAGCGGAAGCGGAGGAAAGCCTTGCCCACCTTCTCCCAGCCCTTTGGGGGTGGCTCCCACATGGGTGGAGGCTCTGGGGGCTCGGCTGGGGGTTATGGAGGAGCTGGAGGAGGAGGTGAGTGCTGGTGGCAGGAAGGGGAATGGATGAGGGAGGGGTAAAGGGAAGAAAAGTTGTGGGGGAATAAATCTGGAAGAGTCCTCCTGGTGCCCCCTCCCCACAGTCCTGCCTGTGTCCACAGGTGGCAGCCTCGGCTTTTTCTCCTCCTCCTTGGCCTACAGCCCCTACCAGTCCGGTGCGGCCCCAATGGGCTGCTACCCGGGAGGCGGGGGCGGGGCGCAGATGGCCTCCGAGGCGCCTAGCGTGGATGCTGGGGAGGAAGCAGCAGAGCTGAGCGCCCCCTCCGGGACCCTCCAGCGCGAACAGGCCCCGGAGCTGCTGCATCGAGGTATGGCCTCGGGAATCCGGGTGGTCGGGACGCTGCGGGTGGGGACCTAGCCCATGCCCACACCCCCTGTCGCCCCCAGCAAGGGAATACAACGCGCGCCTGTTCGGCCTGGCGCAGCGCAGCGCCCGAGCCTTGCTCGACTACGGCGTCACGGCAGACGCGCGCGCGCTGCTGGCGGGACAGCGCCACCTGCTGACCGCGCAGGACGAGAACGGAGACACGTAGGTGGGAGGGCGGGCGGCCGGGCGGGCGGGGTCCTGGGCTTGGCGCGGTGGAAGGTCGTGGGGGGCGGGGCGGGAAAGGGACTTAAAACGAGCCAGGGCTCTGGAGTTGGACAGACCCGGTTTCAAGCCTGGCCTCGTTATGCTCTAGTTCTGTCCAAGATACTTAATCTCTGCACACTTCAGTTTTAAAGGGGCACAATAATAGTACGTACTTAGTGCAAAAGGTGCTCGGAAGTATTAAGTTCAGGTGCAGCGATGTCCTTGGAGACGTCTGGGCTGGGCGGGGCCGAGGGAGAGAGATTGTGGAGGTGGTGGGGTTTTGAGAGTGAAGGATGCTGAGTTGCTGGGCTCACTAGGCCAGAGGCTTACTCCCCAACCCCCAGGCCGCTGCATTTGGCCATCATCCACGGGCAGACCAGCGTCATTGAGCAAATAGCCCACGTCATCTACCACGCCCCGCACCTCGGCGTTGTTAATCTCACCAACCACCTGCACCAGGTGAGGGGCATCTATTGGTGAGGGGGTAGGGGTTGGAAGTCAGGTGGGTCTAGGCCAGGAGCAGGCCTGGCTTACTCTGCCTGCCTCCCCAGACGCCCCTGCATCTGGCAGTGATCACCGGGCAGACCAGCGTGGTGAGCTTCCTGCTGCAGGTGGGCGCAGATCCAGCACTGCTGGATCGGCATGGAGACTCAGCCGTGCACCTGGCACTCCGGGCACGTGCCAGTGCCCCTGACGTGCTGCGCACCCTTCTGCGGAGTGGAGTTCCCAGCATGCCCCAACTGTTGCACTTGCCAGACTTTGAAGGTGAGTTCATCACCTGGACCAGCGGGCAAGGGTGGGGACCAGAGAGGGTACCTGGTGAGTGCCTGTAGTGGACATAAGGCATCGAGGTCAGATGGTCACATTGGGGGCACAGCTGCAGGCTGAGCATCCTGTGTCACTAGGGCTGTACCCTGTACACCTGGCGGTCCGTGCCCGAAGCCCCGAGTGCCTGGATCTGCTGGTGGACAACGGAGCTGAAGTGGAGGCTGCAGAGCGGCAGGGGGGCCGAACAGCCCTGCATCTAGCCACAGAAATGGAGGAGCTGGGGTTGGTCACCCATCTGGTCACCAAGGTGGGACTGAGGATTGTGGAAGGCATGGAGCCAAGGGTGTGGAGGGACTAGGGAGGGGGAGGGTGTGGCGGAGGGACAGCCAATCAGTTGGTGCTGTGATCAACCACTCCTTTGCACCCCACAGCTCCGGGCCAACGTGAATGCCCGTACCTTTGCGGGAAACACGCCCCTACACCTGGCAGCTGGACTGGGATCCCCGACCCTCACCCGCCTCCTTCTGAAGGCCGGTCAGTCTCACTCTCAGGGGCATATGAACAGGGCTGGCGGATAGGAAAGGGGGGTTTCCCAGTCCCCCCACTTTGCATCCTTAATGTGGGCTCCTGTTGTACTTCTCCGTGACTATCCCCTCACCCAGGTGCCGACATCCATGCAGAGAACGAGGAGCCCTTGTGCCCACTGCCTTCGCCCCCCACCTCTGGTAGTGACTCAGATTCTGAGGGCCCTGAGAGGGACACCCGAGGCAGCTTTCGGGGCCACACACCTCTTGACCTCACTCGCAGCAGCAAGGTGAGGCCAGCCTGGGACTAGAAGTACCAGGGGATGGGGCAGCTGGGCTTATAGATGGGTCCTGAGTATCTGGTACCTGGGCTTAAGGACTGTGATGGGAGGTAGTCAAGGCTGAGGCTGTCTCCCCAGGTGAAGACCTTGCTGCTAAATGCTGCTCAGGACACCGTGGCGCCCCCCCTGACCCCACCTAGCCCTGCAGGTGAGATCTCCCCACCCATTGCCAGATGCCAGACCCCAGACCCCTGCTCACAGAGGTCTCTTCTCCTTCAGGGCCACTCAAGGAGGTCTCCCTTCCTCCATCCCTGTCCTCCGTCCATTGCCCCCAGTGGCCCTTCCTGCCTTATCTATCAGGTTACCACGTGAGAAAGGTGGCATCCAGCTGTGTTTTTGCCCATCTCTGGGGGGTAACTAACATGTTATGTGTGTGTCCCCCTCAGGGCCAGAGATGCCACTCGAGGATACAGTCCTACAGAACCTGGAGCATCTGCTAGACGGGCCAGGAGCCCAGGGCAGCTGGGCAGAGCTGGCAGAACGGCTGGGTCTGCGCAGTCTGGTGGACACATATCGAAAGACGGCCTCACCCAGCGGCAGTCTCCTACGCAGTTACAAGGTCAGTCGGTCCCCGTCCCGTGCTCCAGGCCCCAGCCTCAGGTCTCTGGTGCTTCTCTGCGGACACCACACCCTAACCATGACTCAAGCCTCCTGCCTCGTCCTTCTCCTCAGCTGGCTGGTGGGGACTTGGCAGGCCTGCTGGATGCCCTGTCTGACATGGGCCTGGACGAGGGAGTGAGGCTGCTGAGGGGTCCTGAGACCCGAGAAAAGCTGCCTAGCACAGGTAAAGGGGCCCTACCTCAAAGGTGGATCTGGGCTTGGAGGGTGGGAGGCTTGAGGCCTTGACTCTTCCCTATGTCCTTCCCCGTGTCCACTCCCCCAGCAGAGGTGAAGGAGGACAGTGCATATGGGAGCCAGTCGGTGGAACAGGAAGCAGAGAAGCTGGGTCCCCCTCCTGAGCCACCAGGAGGGCTCTGCCACGGACATCCCCAGCCTCAGGTGCACTGAACTGCTGCCCACCCACCAGCCCCCTTCCTGGGCCCCTCTGTACAGTGTCCCCACCTATTCCAGTTCTTATTTAACACCCCGTGCCCACCCTTCAGTTGGGGCAAATAAAACATTCTCATGAGAAAGGGAGGGGGCGTGGCCTCCTCCCCAACTTAGAGCAGCCCCTGATGTGTGTGACTATTGTTCCTGGGAACCAAATGCCTATCCTGGCCTCAGGCCAGGCACTGGATAGAGGAGGAGGCCCAGCCAGCAAGTCTAGAGCAGTTTTAATGGAGGTGGAGGCTATACAAAGGGCAGGGCCCACTGAAGGAGGGAAAGCAAGGCCATGCTGCCCCCGGCCTGTGCATAGGGCCTCAGCATGGACACCCTTCCGCCACCTCTGGAAAGAGCGGGTGAGCCCTCATGGAAGAGGGAGGGAAAACCAGCTCAGCCCCAACTCCTGGCTTCTGTCTGAGCCAGGCCCCAGGGTGGAGGGCGATTGCTGGTGTCAGGGGTGGGGTGTCTCAGCAGAAACGTCAGGTCTCCCCCACACACAAAAAAAAGCATCAAAAGTCTAGGGACCCTGGCCCCTCCCGTCCCAGTCCCCTGTACGAAAAAGTGCAAAACATTATCACAAAAAGGGGGTCTCGGAGGGGCCCTTAGCCTAAGGCTCCTGAGGCCCGTGCCCTAGCCCTGCCCTGCCCCGGACACCGCGTCCGGCGCGGTCAGGCCCTGGACCGAGGGGCCCTCCCAGGTGGCCCGAGGCCGGCCCGGGCTCAGGCAGGGCCCTGTCATGCAGGTGCCTGGTGGGCACCACCCGCTCCGCCCCACTCCCACCCTCAACTCAGGGCTTCCACCGCCCACTGCCTGCCCCTGCGCGAGACTCTGGGCCAGGACACTGAGCCCGGGGCTGGCTGGAGGTGTTGGGCTGCGAGGAGGGACTGGAGTGAGGAGGGGGGAGTCCGTCTTCCGTGCTCCCGGCTTGGGCCAGTGCTGCCTCTACCGCATCCAGCTCTTCACTGCCCGCCTTCAGCTTGACCCGAAGCAGCGCTGCATATGTGCCATAGCGAGATTTCTGAGGCAGAGGGGCAGGGATGAGCCTGCTGTCCGCCGTCTGCCCAGCCCACCCCCGTCTGCAGCAGGGAGGGAATGCCAAAGAAGGCTAGGAGATGCCATGTTCTTGCCTACCTCTGAAGCCCCAAAAGCCCCCAAGGACTGACTGCGACATGATCCCTGGGTAGTTTGGTGACCTTCTCTGGGCTCTCTCTAGACTGTCAACTGTAACAGCTAATGTTTCTTGAGCCTTTACCAGAGTTGGCAAAACTGAGCACGTAAGAGACATCATCTCCTTTTATTTCCCTAGTGGGGATGGAACGCTGTCCCTGTCCCACAGAAGAGGAAACTGCGGCTCAGAGGGATTAAGCAGTCTGCCCAGGGTCACTTAGCTAGTCCCACTCTTAGAGTCCATGCCATGAATCACTAGTCTGAGCCTCTGTATGGGGACACAGAGGTCCCACCGGTGGAGCAAGGAGCCACAGAGTTGCCCGGGCCGGGAGGCTCACCTCAAACTCCAGATAGGCCTCCTTCTGCCGCTGTTCCTCAGCCTCCTTGCCCCGGGCCTTCTTGCCCAGATGGGCAGCCCGGTGCTGCCGCAACTCACTTGCCATGGCCTTCAGCTTGGCCTCGTGGGTCCGCATCTGCTCCTCCTAGAGGCCGGGGGAGCATGGTCACTCTGGCAGAGACAGTGCCTTTGTGCAAGTTTTTAGAAAAGGTGCCCCATCCTTTGGATGAACAAAGCACCATGTATGGGTTAACCAACAGTATTTCAGCCTCTGCACGCCCCCCTATGGCCCATGTCCTGGTGCACTGGACATCTACATGTATCATACACAGTGGCCTGGAGTGCAGTCGGCCTAGGCCTGCCTCACTCCGTCCCACTGGCACCAGGTGGACAAAGCTGGGGGTACCTGGGGGAGGCGGGTGGCAGCACTGGGCAGCAGAGGGCGGCTGAACTTCTTCTGGGAACTGACAGCAGCTGGGAAGGGGGGTGCGGAGAACATAGCAGCCACCACATTGATGCGAGTGATCCAGGACTGCATCTGCTCCAGGCTCCTGGGGAGACAGCACAGCCATCTGGGACCTGGGCCCAGGGTTCCATCCAGGGATGCCAGTCCTGGCCTGAGAAGGAATGAGGCAATCCAGGGACAAGGGATGGGAGCAAGCTGGGAGTGGAGTGAAGGGGTCTGGGATGGGCAGGAGGAGGGCACTCACGGAGCCTGGAAGAGGAAGACCCGCCAGTCAGCGGTGCGCAAGTAGAAGACGTGGGGCCTCTTGCTGTAGTCACTGGCACGCGTGGCCAGTGCGTGGTGGATGCTGATGGCGTTCTTCAGCTCAGCCTCCGACGGGGCCTCCCCAGGCTGGTACTCCTCCTGTGGGGTGCCCATCTCGTCCTGGCTGCAGTCCCAGCCCAGCTCGACCCGCCCCTACTCCCTCCCCTGAGCCAGCTCAGCCCCAGCCCCTTGAGCTGGCCCCCGTACCTTCTGCAGGTAGAGGATCATGCCCTTGAGGATCCCGTGGAAGTTCTTCCAGCCCCGCTTGCCCCGAGGTGCTGGGGGGAAGGAAGACAAGTCACAGGGGACTGAGACAGGCCCACTCCCATCCATCCCCCAGGCCTCCCCACCTGGCCACGTACTCTTCCTGCAGTCAGGGTCTGCGTGCACCTTTCGCACCAAGGCCCCGTGCTTGTAGACTGCGGCCCCAGGCTCGGGAGTCAGGTCCAGGAAAGGGCTGGAGCCGCTGCCACTGCCCCCGCTGACTCTCTTGATGACCTTGGGGTTGGGGTCGGCCAACTCAGACAGAGAGCGTCTCAGCTCCTCCTCGTCTCTGCAGGTGTGATCACCTCAGAGGGGGCTGGCCGTGTAGCCACGACCCCCCCTTCAGGCCCGGCCTCTGCCACCCAGGAAAGCTCCTCCAGTGTCTGTGAAGAAGGGGCTGGGGGGACTGCCCCTCTCATAGGGCGTGGCTCCCCTCAGCCCAAGGCTCCTGGAGCCACATTTCCGGCCTCAGACCGGGTTGCACCAGGGTGTAGCTGTACCTCCCCACTCAGATCAGGGGTCCTCGAGGCAGCATGTCTCTGCCCCCAGATTAGAGTTCCCAAGGGTAGGACCACGTCTGTCCCTTCCTCCCCTCACGTGTACGCAGCCCCATCCTCTCCATTTCTGCACACACACACACACACACACACACACACACACCCCTCACTCCCTTCTCCACCAGAGCAGACACATGTCTGAATCAGCCTCTCAACCACACCCAGCACCAGGCTTTACTCGTAGCTTGTTGGCTAAATGGTGGCAGAAGGAGCTTCCTAGTACCTCCTGGTCTGCAAACTCTGTCAGCTATCAGCTAAAGAATCTGATTCTATTTTGTCACTCCCTCATCAAGAACCTGCAGTAGCTCCCTACTGCCTTCCACCTGGAGCCTACACTACATCCTCACCAACACTGTCTCTCTCCTGCCACTCTCCATTCCAGCTAGCCTGCCTCCTCTTGGTCTCCTCACCCCACACTCGTTTCAGCCACCACACATTGGCCTCCCAAATGCCAACTTCCCTCCTTCTCTCCCCAAACAATGCTTCCTCTCCGTCAAGGCTTGCCCCGAGACCAATGCTCACAGAAGCTTTCCCTGATCCCCCCTGTACCCCAGTCCTGAGCTTTGCCTCCTCTGAGGTCTTCTCTCCTGCAGACTGGGAGCTCCCAGCTAAACTGAGCAGTGACTGGACTCTCAGCAGATACCAGCAAGTAGGAGTGATCTATTGACTGTTTAGATGAGGGCTCTACCTCAGACTGGGGGACTCGACTAAAACTAGACCTCCTCCCTCAGACTAGACTCTTCCAAGACTTAACTCTGAGTCTTTCTGTTTCCACTGGGGCTGCCAAGAGTAGACAATTCTGTGACACTCTGGGCTCCCTAGGACCCAGGAGGAGGCTCTCCCTCTACTGGTCGGGGGCCCTACTTCCAGAGACTTCTACTTTCCCACTTGGGTGCCAAGAGACCTCCCCCCATTTGTTTCAGCACCCTCATCCCAGGCCAGCTGACAATGGCTACCCACCCCAACCCAGCTTGTCATAACAACCCAGCTAGAGACAAGACACAGAACCCCACGTCCAGGCGGGCACCTCCAAAAAAGGAAGTGAGGCAGCCTCACTGCCTCTCGTGCTCTCACCCGCCTCCCCGGCTCCACAGCCCCAGGATTCACTCAGCCCATCTCAGTGCTCTGGACCTCTCCAGGCAGCCCCTTCCCGACATCCCATCCCAGCCCCTCACACGCCCCAGGACTCACATGGCCCACTGCAACTTTTCATTCTTGATGGAGCTGTACAAGGCCTGCAGAGGGAGGAACAAACCAAGGGGGTGGGGGGTCAATCCTGGGGGGGAGGTGCACCAATGCCAGAGCTCAGAGCCCTCCCTCCAAGTTTGGGGGAGGAGACAGAACTGGGGGTGGGGATGGGCAGTAGGGTGTAATGACTGACAGGCTCTAGAACAAGGTACTAGGACCCAGGCCCAGGTTTGCCACTTGAGCTGCATGACTTTGGACAAGTCTCCATGGGAAGAACAAACGTAGCACCACGTGGTCGTTTTATTTTTTTTTTTTGGCCACGCCACGCAGCATGCAGGATCTCAGGTCCCTGACCAGGGATAGAACCCACACCCCTGCACTGGGAGCTCTTAACCACTGGACGGCCAGGGAAGTCCAAGTACCACGTGTTTACCATAGGGCAAGCAACTAACACAGGACATCCTGGCGTACAGTTTATGTGTAATAAATAGCAACTGCTCTTATCTTTGCTGTTGTTGTTATTGTTAAGAGTCATCCTATTCAGAACCTGGGTGGGGGAAGCACAGCCCTAGAAGGAATGGAAAAGCGCAGCCTAAGAAGCTCTCCTTTCCCCAACCATGTGTTTTGGCCTATTTCGACAGGATAAACCCACACAGGGCATATGGGGAAACTGAGGCCCAGGAACAGGACTCTCCCTGTCACCTCCCTCCTTGGCTAACAGAGAACACACTCCCATGGCTCCCAGCCCCAGTGCAAGCTGAGATCTTCGCCCAACCCAGAGAGCCCCACCAAGCCAAATGCCAGAGTGATCCAGCCCCCTGCCCACGCACATACTTCATGTTCCTGCAGAGTGGACACTAGTCTAAAAGACAATAGTTTTAGCTTCCAAACCCTACACACTCCAAACTCCCTGTGAATTCCCGAACCAGTCACTTGCCTCTGTACAGTTGGCCTGGGGGACCTGCAGGGGCCTTGGGGTGGTCGGAGGAGAGGATGGGTTCCAGTAGTGGCATAGGGGACCCCTCTTCTTGGGAGTAGCCTGCAACGTGGGTTCACACCAGTGGCTCCCACTGTGGGGGCGCTTCCACCAGCCTGTCCGTGAGTGGGTGTGTCCCCAGCACATGCGGCTAAGCGTGTGGCGTGTGATGCCTGCGTGCGAGGAGTTGGATGCAGTGGTGACGTCGGCACCTTCTCCAAGATGGGACACAGCCCCCCACTGCCCACACAACACGGTCTCTGACTCTTTCACTGTCCACTGCTATACCCAACCACAAGGCTTGCCAAGCACCCCACATGGGCACACCCTGGCCAGGGGCAGGTACACCACGACCTCCACCCCACAGCACAACCCAGTCAGATGCATACACAGCACAACCCAGTCAGGTGCATACTCAGCCCTCCCAGCACCACCCCGACCAAACTCAGCAAGGCGCAGACGCTGAGCCCTCACACTCCAACTCTCGGGCCAGGATGTGAAGTGGCCACCGAAAGCCAACCTGTGGTCCTTGTCTCCACCCCTGCAGTTCATCCCCTGCCCCTCTCGGCACTTCCTTTGGCCCACAACGTCTTCCTTCGAAAATTCCTAAACCCCACAGGTGAGCTCCGTCTCATGCTCTCATCTAGAAGATCCAAAGACCCTTTGGTCTGCGATCCCCAACTTGATCCGAGGGTCTCTGCCCTACCCCCACCCCATGCCCACCCCTGGCTACCCGTGGGCTCTGTCCGTGTCGGGCTCCCCCCTCGGCTTGCGATGCCTTCGGCGCCTCCCTCAAGCCGCCCCCTCAGTCGCGTGCCGCCCTCAGCAACCCCCTCGGTCGTCCCCCAGCCTGGCGTGGGCCGCGGCCCCACCGCCCTCACCGCCTTTTTCTTCTTGCGGCTCTGCAGGCGGCTGACCACCAGGTCGGTGTAGAGCACGGGCTTGAGACTGCGCGAGCGCTGCGGCCAGCCGTAGCACAGGGTCTCCGCGCCGCGGTGGGTGCGCCCGTAGCGCACGGAGCACAGCGAGCGCGAGCGCAGCCGCCCGGCGCTGCTGTGGATGCTGTTGACACCGATCATGCTGGCCCGGCCGGCGCGCCGCGGCCCCCGGCCATGCCGCCGTCCGGCCTCCGCCGCGGACGGCCCGGACGGCCCGCGGACGGCTCCCCCGACAGCCGGCGCGAGCAGCCCGGCCCGGCCCGGCCCGAGCCCGGCCCGGCTCCCACCGATGCACGGAGCGCTCGGCGGCGGCGGCGGCGGCGGCGGCGGCGGCGACGACGCTGTCTGCTCTGCAGCTCGGCGAGAGCGGGTGGGGGGGTGGGCGCCGACGGAGAGGGGAGGGCGAGGGCGAGGGGCGGGGACGGCGCAAAATGGAGGCGTCCGACCGAGAGGAGGGCCCGCCGCGCGCCGTCACGGGGGAGGCGCCTGGGAGGGCCGGTGGGGGGGCGGCGCGGTGGCCTTTTCTAGGGGTGCTGGGAGGTTAGGGCTGTGAGATGGGCTGTCCCTGTAGGGTCTGGAGCGCTCTCCTGTCTCGTCAGGGTGCGGTGGTGAGGAGAAAGGTCGGAACGCCTCCTGGAGGCCCTTTTTTACAGAGCCAGGAGGGGCCACGAGGCTAGAGACAGCGGCGCGGGATGGAGACAGCCGTGGAATTACCCAGCTCACCGACCCGCAGATACTTCAAATGCCCGAGTATATAATCACCTTCAAACACCCCACTTTACATACACCCCAACTAACCAGATGCACCAATACACATTCACCTCAACTCACAGACACTACAAATTCAGAGGTACACCTCAAATTTTACAGTCATTAACTCACAGACATACACCCCCTACTCATGGACACCTGTCATAAACCAGATAGTCAATTCGTAGATATACACCCCAACACACACAAACACCCAACCTACATCCCAACACACTCTAAATCATAAGCCCTAAAGCACAAACACACTGCAAGTCAAAGCCCTATGATTCACAGACCCTAAATCACATATACAAGTCAGCATACACCCCAACTCACTGACGCCCCCCCAGCTCACAGTGGACGGCCCCACTCAAGATACGTTCCCAAACTCAGAAGCTCAACATACCCCACGTTCACAGACACGCCCCAGGACACTCCAGTGCTGTCACATGTATGCGGTGGCCGGGAGACCCCTTTGACAACTCTGGGGGTTTCAAGGGAGTGCAGGCCTTCTCAGATAAAACGCCACCCGATCTGGAAGAGGACTGAAGCCAAGGACCAGGCCACCCCCCTCCTCCTCCCATCCTACCCGCTCCAGTGTAGCTAACCCCTCAGGACCTGGCGCCTGGGCGCGGGGCCTGCCCACTAAGGAGCCAGAAGCGCAGTGTGTAGTCCCAGCTTGGTGCTAACTGGCTTCAGGACCCCGGAAAGCCTTTGTCCCTCTCAGGGCCCCCATCTCCGGGTCCCTCCAGTGCAGCGGTACCAGAGAGGCCTTTGTGGCCGTACACCGTGGGGCGGGGGCTGGGCGCGGGGAGGGAAGTGGTGTACCTATGCGCGCCCCACCGCCCTTGCAGAGACCCACACACACACACCCCACCCCTTTCCTCAGTGAACACTTAAGGAGGGGCGCTAACGAAGCCAAAATACAGGGTCCAGGGTCTGCTGGTCACGTGTTTTCGAGAACTGTTTTCCCCGCCCCCTCCCCCCCCCCCCCCCCCCGCTGCGCGCTGGGACTGCGAGTGCGCATGTTCCGGGAAAGCCAGTCTTGTGGGGGCTGGGGGAGGGGGCGCTCCCCAGGCTGAGTCACTAGAGCTCAGGCTTCCACAGCGGGAACTGGGTGGTGGCAGGCCCCTCCCCGCCCCTCCCTCGGAGGCCTGCTGACAGGTCCCCTGTCCCTCCCCTCCAACGACCTCTGCCCCGCCCCGCCCCACCCCCCACCTTGAGCAGCTCTCTGGGGAAGTCGCCGCCTTCGTTGAGGCCCTCCAGGTTACCAATGAAGTCTCCGCAGGTCATGCGCTTCCCGATGTTCTAATGGAGGGCACAGAGGCCTCTGAGCTTGGGGAGTCCTTCGCCTCCCAGGCCTTGAGGGCCTGGACGGGGTGCTCCGGGCTCCCTCCCGCCAGCCCCCCTACTCACGTGGCCGTGGAGATCCGTATTGAGTAGCATGAGGGCGCAGGTCAGCGTGTGCGCACCGTCTAGGAGAGAATTGACATTCAGCCTTGGCCACCTCGCAGGGACTCTTCCACATCTATCTTCCTCAATCTTCCAGTTCATCCCCTGCCCCCTTTCAGGAACCCCTTTGGCTCACAACCACACTTTTGTTAAGTCCCCGACCCCATTAGCAAACCCCTCCAGAGCAAAGACCTCTCTCTTCCAGTAAATCCCTCAGATGGGACCTCTCCCTCTTCTTAGGTCACCCTACCTAACTCCCTAAGGTTCTGGGGGCAGCCCACTGCTTGCCCCCAACACCAACATGCCTCTGTGTCTATGCAAGCCATTGGGCCCCACACAGTTACGCAGACCAAATAGAATCCCTACTCAGGCCAAGCACTGTCTTGCACATGTATGCAAACAACGGCATGCAAACACACCTGCCACGTGCCTCTTCACAACACACACTAGACCCTACCTAGCACTATACCTGCCCACATGCACAGTTCCACATCTGTGCAGCCGTGCCAGTACTGTCTGCATACATACATGAATGCTTGCATGCCTGCAAGCTCATGCATTCGGGTACTTCTGCACACACACTCATGCTGCTTTGCACAGATGTGCCCATCTGCCTCAGTGACCAGCCAGGAATGCCCTGCCCCGGGCCTCCTCACCCTCTGAGGACAGGGCTCCAGGATTGCACTGGAAGTATCTCTGGGAGAAGTGGGCCAGCACGCGCTCCCGTTCCTGGGTCTCACCCATTAAGGCCAGCTCCTTCAGAAACACCCTGGGGAGGTGGGAAGAGGGGACATGTCACCTCTACCCAAGGTCCCCTTACCAGGCAGCCCTGGCTCTTGGCCATGCCCAGACAGCTTGGGAAAGGGTGACTTCAGGGCAGTTTAGGGGAGTCACGGGGCTCAGAGGAGGCATAACTGAGGCCCTGCGCACCAGGCCTGGAGAGTAGGCGCTGCCCTCAAAGGGCTGGACACCCACCTGAGAGCTTGGTCCAGAGTCATGCCCGTGAAGACAAAGAACTTCAGGTACTCTCCAGCCACAAGTTTGCTGAAGTCATTGCTGTGGGCAGGGCAGAGAGACAGGTGGAGTCTCAAGGGGAAGTGTCAAGGGGCCAGGTGGGGTTTACCTAGAGACCTGGGGGTATTAGATACAGGGGATGTGGAGGTGCTGCCCACAGGATGCATTCCTTCTCCCCCCATTCTCAATCCCAGCCCAGTGCCTTTACTTCTTGCCCAGGTGCCGGGCCACATCCGCCTTCCTGAAGCCGTCTAGTCGGTACAGCCTCTTAGCTAGGCGCTGCGCAGCCTCCAGGTCTGCTTTCTGCCCATTAGACAAGGTGTCTGTGCTTCCCAGGGCCAGGCGCTCTGTGCTGTCCAGCTCTGAGTCCGAATCAGACACGAGCTGGCTCAGGGGCGGTTCACTGCCAGGGTAGAACACCAGCTCAGAGGTGGGGCAAGCCCTCGGGGGCCATCCAGATCCTTCCTCTGCCTCCAGACCCAGTAGACAGAGAAGGGAAGATTGGGACATGGGGAAGGCATTTTTCTTTTCTCCAGAGAAGGAGATTCCTTCCTTCAGCCTACTCCATCATTACCACCTCTCTGTGGAAGTCCTGCCTCAAATCTAACCCACATCCAGGTTGCTGCTTTGGGAGTTCTGGCTGCTTTCCCCAAAGCTCCCTAAGTTTGCTATTAGACATAGATTCCCCATTCCCACACTGGACCTACTCAGGACAGAGTCTTCTGTGTCTGAGGCTATGGGCAAAGATAGGATAGATGGACTGCTAGGGAGGAACAGTGGAGGGTCAGACAAAGATGTGAGGGCAGCAGGGACACTTTCCTGCTCCTATGTCTTTCCTCTTCCCGCCTTTTAGGGAGAGGAGCCTCCTCCAGTCCTTCTCTTACACCCTCAAAGAAGTAGGCTCTGGGGTAGAGGGTATTGGGGGTCAGAGTGAATTCCTCATCCCCTGTCTCCTTCTGCCTTCCTTTCCCACCCCAGCTGCTCTACTCACAAAGCCACCTGTCACCCCAGAGACAGAGGCCGGAAACTCCTAGTTGCTAGGCAACCGTCTCCCTGGCCACCCCCTCCTGTTGCCATGGCTTCAGTGACTGAGAGGGTAGCTGGCAGAGGGGAGAGCAGAAAGGTTAGACTGGTGAAAGGACTTCCTGGAGAAGGGTGAGAGACTCTAGATTGGAGGGGGGAGGTGACATGGGAGGGAAGCAAAAGAAGCTGGTGGCTGCATCTTTGGGAGAAACCTCCAGGCTGACTGAGGGTAAGATCAGAAGAATTCTAAGCAGGTTAGGGCTCTGTCTGGGGAGGGAAGGGCCCTTCTAGAGAAAGAGGAGGGTGTCCTCTAGGGACCCTTCAATCCTAAACCATGGTTTCGCAAGTCACTGGATCTGAGACCAAGGCTGCAGGCTGTGAGGGGCTCCCACTCACAGCCAATGGAAGTAGTCCTCCAAATGAGAAAACACATCTGTATCCCCTAACCACTCCTATCAGGGGTCAAGAATATAAACTACATCTTCACACTCAGGCTCTGTCCCTTAGAGCAACTGTTCCTGGGGCCCTGGGGCCCTGGGGCCTCAAGTCTGAGGACCCAAAGGAATCACTCACCTGCCCAGGGGAGCTGCCCCCAGCCCGTAGCTGTCTTCTGAGCGGCAGGGACTAGGGGGCTCCCTCCTTGGGGCCTGCTTGGCCTCTGCCTCCTCTTCCTCCCCTCTCTGTGTCCAAGGCCCATCAGCAGCAGAGCTGGTACCAGAATCCGGTTCGAGAGGGGCAAGTGGGGCAGAAGCAGGTGGGTCAGGCCTGGGGGCAGGGGGCTGGGGAGGCAGCTCAAAGGTGAAGAAGGGGCTCTGGGTTGGGCCAGGTGAGGCCAGGGCCTCCAGCGAGGCGAGGCTGGTGTAGGAGGTGCCCTTGGCCCGGTGTGACTCCAAGATGGCTTCAAACACACAACTGAAAGAGTCGGGCCCATCAGCCAAGGGGCTGGTCCCAGGTAGAAAGGGCAGGGGCGACTTGAGAGGCCCGGAGTGAGGCATTCGGGTGCCTGGCCTGCAGGGGTGGGGAGGAGAATCTCTGATCAGGGGCCTACAGGACAGCTCTCAGGTAGCATTTCATTGAACTTTCATACCGACTCTGTGAAGGGGATTATCATCCCCTTTCTACAGGCTCCCAGCCCCCGAAAAGAGCCACCCGAGTATGGGGTCCCCACCACACGTTTGCCAAGCTATTTAGTGACCCTGGAGCACCCCAGCCCTACCCATACCCAACACCCAATCCCCTTTCTCTCTCACTCCCTGTTAATCTCCCTTTCTCCTCCTTCTCCCTGATCCTCTCTCCTTCTGCCATCCCATTTCTATTTCTGGCAACATCTTAGGAAAAGAAGATGAGGTTCCAGGCTGCAATGGGGTGTGAGACAGAGAGGAAGGCCCCTACACTCCACGTTCTCCTGCCGGGATCCAGGATCTAGCCTGATGCTCCCGGGCCCCCAGGCTTGATTTTGACCTCAGCCTGTCACTCTGCCCCTGGCCCTCATTAGAACACCTTTCTTCCTCTATCCTGGCTGCCCCTACCCTCCTGGGCTCTTGCTGATGGGTCCCCCCCCCCCCCCCCCCCCCCCCCCCCCCCCCCCCCTCCCCCGGGGCCCCCCCCCCCCCCCCCCCGCACCCTGCCAGGCCGCAGGCCTCTGTCCGGAATCCCGAGTGCTACAGCGCCCCGTCAGCACACCGCTTTGTCCTGACATTCCTGGCCCCACCCTTGTCTCTATTCCCATCCCTTTGAGCCCAACTCTGGCTCTGGGCCAGTGGGAAGGAGCAAGCCACTTTCCTCTCCCACTCCCCCACTCACCGGGCCCCTTCTGAGGCCTCAAACACCTCGTCGTCCACATCCTCTTCCCCACCTGCCTCATCCTCATCCTCATTGCCACTGCCCAGGCTGGAACGAGGGCCAAGGCATGGGCCGGGACGTGGGGCAGGTGGGCGGGCAGTGCCAGGCGGGCCCTCAGAGCTGGGCTGACTCTCGATGGCCGAGTCAGCCTCTTCCCGCTCAGCCAGCACCTCATCGATGTCGGTCTCGCGGTAGCACCTCAGGGGCACTGTGTCCAGGTCCGTCTCGGAGTACTTGGTTGCTCGCCCCACAGCCACCCCAGAGCCCTGCCCTGAGCCCACCCCAGGTGGAGATGGGGGGGCCTGCTCTGGGGGCTTAGCACCTGCAGTGTGCACAGGCATCCTGGTCAGGAGGTTATTCAGGTCAGCTCCCTGTCCTGATTCTGTTCTCAGAAGGAACTCTCCCCCACTGCCTCAAACTGGCAGGAAGTTCTTTCACTGTCTAGCCGCCATTCCTCCTGCTACAAACTCAGCTTGTTCCTGGTGCCAGTGGAGCTCATTTCAAATCAAGTTCTTATCAAACAGCTTTGAGGGGCCTGAGGAAGACCAGCCTCTTTTCTACTCCAAGGAATGACCCTTGACATCCTGCCATCCCCTCCCTCCACTACCCAGCTTCCTCCAAGTGCCCAACCTAGCTGCCATCCCCCAACCCCCTATCATAACACAGATGGATAGACTGAGGCCTAGAGAGGCATTAGCTGACTCAGAAGCCCAGGAAAGAATAGGGGGAGGTTTAAAGGAAGGCTCCCTAGCCCGCCATGGCTGCTGTGGAAAAGGCCCTGTCCTGTTCCCCTTGTCTCAGTCCCAGGCCTTACCTGAGCTGGGGGAGTCCAAAGAGCCATAGAAGAATTCCCATTTGGCTCGAGCGATTCTCTGGGCATGAGAGGAGACTTCTCTGGGTGAGGACCAGGTGTCCCCCTAAGCCAAGGAGGGAGACATAGACACAGGCACCCAGAGATAAAGCCAGACACACAAAGACACAAGAACATGGGACAGAAACACAGAACGAAAAACATACAGGGACAGAGGTGCAGAGACATAAGGACAAACAAAGAGGGCAAGAAAGAGGCAGATTTAGCACAGATTGAAGGATTCAGAGTGAACAGCTGATAGGCCCAAGACCACCAAGAAGACAAGCCTTGGCCTTTGCTGGGTCTCTGGGGTTCCAGGGAGCCCAAGGGAGATCACATACCTGGTTAAGGAGTCCAGTGTCAGCAGGTCCTCGGAATAATGTGGCCAGGTGCTCAGAGGGTCCCCCCAGCCCATTGGGGAGAGAGGAGTAAAGGCCGTCTGCTCCAACCTGAGGTTGAGCTGGTGGCCCGTGTAAAAGGCCCTGGCTGCCAGGCAGAGCTGAGCCTCCTCCAGCTGGGAGTGGGTCTGATGTGGATGCTTCTAGCCGCAACTTTCGGTTGGAGCCAGGACCAAGGGCTGGGGTGGGACTGGGAGGAGAGACCCCACCCAGGTCCCAGCTCCGACTCAAGCCTCCGGGAGCAGGTAGCCCATTCAGTGGCCTCACGCTGGCCTTCTCCACAAAGCGGAATATGACCACAGAGCTCCGGGCCCCTGGTGGGGGCTGCCCAGTGGGTGAAGAGGGTGCCCAGGGTGAGGGAGCAACACGGGGTGAAGGGGGGCCACGCAGGGGTGTACAGGGTGCTGTCACACGTCCAAGTTCCCGGCCTTGGGGACTTGGACCTGCCACCCGCCGTAGTAGGGAGCCTGTGCTACCATACATGCTGGCGGGGGGGCTCTGGGGCACTGGGCCTTCGGGGAGCCAGCGGCGTGGGCATCGTGGCGGGGAGATGGCACAGTCGCCTTCCGAGCAGAAGCGCATGGCACCCTGGGCCATGCTGGGGCCGGGGGTCAGGCTGGGGGGGCAGGGATGGCCAGGCCAGGTGGGGAGTGAGGGCGCAGCATACTCTTCAGACAGGCCTGCAAGAGAGGAAGGGGAGGAGGGGGTGAACTGCCGGGGAGTCGGGTGGACAGGAGAGCAGAGACAGGGAAGGGAAAGCTGGCTGGGGTCACTGAGCACCAGGGGTCTAGCCCATGCCGGGAATATGGCATCATTGATCCCACCCCTGGGGGTGGTGATCAGTCTTCCTGCTGGGGCTACTTCCATGGAAGCCTGAAGAGAAAAGAATTGTACCCCCAGTGGGCCCCTGGCTCCTCTCCTTTCTGCCTGGGGGCTCTAAGCACCACCCTGGGAGGAGAGAGGAAGGTATTTCAGAAGTTGAGTGAGCCCAGAGTTCCTGTGGCATTTTGGAACTACTTCTGGTGGGGGAGGGGAAGACTGCTACCCCACCCTCAGGACCAGAAGTATCAGCCAGCCATCATCATCGTCCAGCCATGGACCTTCCACAGTCTCTCTATAGAAGCCCCTCACTCAGGGGGAGAGAACTCAGGCCTCCTGGAAGGAGAGGGAGGAAGAATGGGGGTGGTATATAGGGACATGAGGGGCTGAGAGGCATAGGTGAAAGGGAAGAGAAAGGCCTGAACAGAGGCTCCTCCTCTACTACATACATGCTGAATGGGAAAGGGACATTCTTGTTCTCCATACAGGTACACATACTCATGCACACACACACATAAGGACAAATAATATCAGTACACAGCTAACACATTCATAGACAACACCCTCCAGCACACACAGACACAGGCACACACACACATTGCTCAAAGACACACCCTCATACACTCTCACAGTCATAACAAATATGTGTGTAATGGAAAGGCACATGCTTGTTTTACACACACACTGCAATCAAACAGGAACACACAAAGAGATACCCAAATATACACACAGACCCTCATTCTCCAAGGCACATAGAGACACAGGCATATCAGACACTCACAGACACTTACTGGTCACAGTCACACACATACAGATGCATCCTCACACACATCCGTAAACAGGGACATACACCCTCTCCCCCAACCCCCACTAGTCACTGGTCTCTGGGGGGGGGCAGCGTGAAGGCTGAACCAGACCCTCTCCCCATCTCTCCCCCCACCCCCCAGGCGTATGACAGATCTTGTCCAACCCAGGAAGGACCATAAAGGGGTAAAAGGTCCCCTGGTGGCAATGCAGGGTAGGGGCAAGGGTCAGGAGCAGCAACCCTGCCAGGCAGGTTTCTGAAGCTCAATCGGGGCCCAGCGCACCCCCAGTGCAGCCCTGGACTCGAGCCGCCTCAGTACTCACCGCTGCTCGCCTGGAGCTGGGGCCGAGGAGAGGCAGGGGAGAGGCTGGGCCCAGCTCAGCTGTGAAGGCAGCGCGACTCCCGCTTGCTCCCGCTTGCTCCAGGCCCGCCCGCCTCTCAGTCCCTCCTTCCCCCCTACGCGCGGCTCAGAGCTAATCCTCCCCCCCACCCCGCCCTTTCCCGGGGCCCTGAGCCCCGGAGGCTGGCCCCCCTTCTCGACGCTAGGTCCCCGCTGGGCAATCCCGCCAACCTGAGACCCGCCCCTGAGGAGGGGGAGGACGTATGGAACCTCTGGTTTGTTCTTCAGACCCTCACATGACCCACCCCAATCGTGTCCACGTCCCTCTCGTCCACCACCCCGAGCCGCACGCAGGACCCAGCTGCACACGCGTGTCCCGCTCCAGACCCCACGCGTGTCCCTAGGAGGTTGCCACATGACCTGTTACATGCCACATGCGCTCCCGCCCCCACGAGCACGCGGCCGCGCCAGCACACGGTACGGGTGTAGACTGGACCCGCCCCCTAAATCCAGAAGACCATCAATTTATGGAAGAAAGATCTAGAGAGCACTGCCTTAAAACCTCCGGATGTTCTAAGACCAGGACTCAGGAGACACAACCCTGACCACTCGCCCAGGATGCAGCAGAAGGGATGTTAGTCAGACTTCAAAAAGAACTTCCTTGCTGCCTGAGTTAGGCATCCTGCCCGTCTGGTAAGAGGTTAGACGGAATGACGCCTGGACTAGAGGAAGTGGGAGACAGGCAACCCTTGTGTCCTTGGCCAAGGTAGAAGCGGGCCCGGCTATTTTAAGAAAGCACCGCTAAAGTTACTAGGACAACTGCTCTCCTTGGGAACTCCAGGGCAGGCAAGTGGTGACCTCGGAAGGAAGAAGGGGTCTGTTCGAGTGGTCAGGGGGCGCAAGAACTTGCGGGGCGGGGGTGCGCGGGGCTCACCGCGGGGAGGGGCTGTGCGGGCTCGGCGTGGTGCTGAAGGGGACAGCGCCAGATTTGTCACACTGCGCAGGCGCAGAAGCGGGAACAACGCTGGGATGGGGAGGAGGCGCGCGGCCCGAGGTGGTGCGCGCCCACTTGACTCTATCTTAGCACAGATCTGTCCTCCCAGCTACCCTTCCCCAAGCAGGCGGAGGAAAAGGGAGCAAGTCCCTCACCCAAACTGACCCTCCTTGGTCCTTCCCCGCTGCTGTTTACTCCCTTCTCGCATCATGGGAGTGGGGGTGGGGTGGGGGAGGGTGGAGGAGTGTGAAAGGGATTTTGGGAAAACCAGGATGCCTGAGTTCTTTATCCCGACTCGCTTGACCCCGGACAAGGTGCTGCCTCTCCAGGGCCTCGGTTTCATCTTCAAAGTGGAGTGACGGAACAGACATGCCCACCTTGCAGAGATGCCGAAGCCCTGATAATGGATGGGAAGCATTTTTCGTTATGAAGAGGCAGGTGAAACGGTTGCACGACGGGAAAGTGCAACCCTGCTGGGGCCGGGGTGGGGGTGGGGGGATGGGAGCTATCTGGGAGAGCAGTAGCCCTAGGCCTCCTTCACATCCTCCCCGCCAATGGATGATGGGGAAAGCACTGCTCCAGAGGTTCCCTGGAGCAGACTCTGAACTACGATCTGGGGACGCAGTGAGAGGGCAACCCAGAGTCTGAGCCCAGAGCTCTGTGTGTGTGTGGGGGGATTACTGCCCCAGGGCGGGCCCAGCCCCAGACCCCACAACTAAACCCCCAGGCCAACCGATAAGCAGTATTCCTCGCGGGCTGACCTGAACACTTATTCTTCTCAGGACCCTAGACCTCCTGGGTAAAGGAAAGGGACCCAGTTGGAGATACAGTCCTTCTTCTCGACCCTACATTTCTCCCTCCAAGGTGTAAACCCGTTACAAATCTTCCGGGAGTGGAAGGGGTTGGATAGCTCTGTACTTCACAATTAACCAGGGATGGGAGGTTTGGGCAAGTTTGCTTGATGAAGGAAGAAAAATTCTAGCTTTCCCCATTCAATTCATTCAGCAATTCTTGGGCATCTACTACGTGCCAGGCAATAAGAGCCTGGACAATTTTTCCCCATTTTTCAAACTCGCTAAACGCGATCAGAGGGCAGAGAAAATAGGCCCAGAACCTTAACAGTCCTGGCCCCGCCCCTTATACGCTTGGCTTTGCCTGCTCCTCCCATCACTTCACTTTGAGGCGGCCACTAGCCCAAAACGAAAAAAGCCAGTCTCTGCTGCACCATCGCATTCTTCAGCCTCGGGTCTCAAGCCCTGTAGCGGAGAAGGCGAGGTCTAACTTTATACCACCGGCCTGTTTCGCCTTCAGTTTCGGGATCCATCCGGAACACTTTCAGACAGGATCCTCAGTGAGCCGGCACTCGATTGAATCGGTCTGTCTCTACAGCCAAAGTAGGCGGGTTCGCTGCGGCCGCTCCAGGCCAAAGCAAGAAGACCTTACTGCGCACGCGCAGTAGACAGCCAATGGAGCCACCAATGGAGCTGTCCGGAGGGGAGCAAGAGCCCGGAGCCGTCAGGTACCGAGCACCGAAGGGGCCGAGAGAGGGAAAAAAGGCCTGGGGGAGGATAGCTGAACCAGGGCCGGGTCTGGGGGTCGCTTTTAGGAGCCGGGGCTTAGGAGCATAACGGAGGCGGACTCGCAGGTAACAGCAACCCGGTGACGCCGCCGCCAACGCCCCTTTGCCCGCAGGCTCCTGGACCTGCCCTGGGAAGACGTGCTGCTCCCACACGTCCTGAGCCGTGTGCCGCTGCGCCAGCTGCTCCGGCTGCAGCGCGTCAGTCGGGCCTTCCGGGCGCTAGTGCAGCTGCACCTGGCCGGGCTGCGCCGCTTCGACGCCGCTCAGGTAAGCCTGGGGCCGGAGCCCCACCCACTTCTGCCCCCGCCCCGGCTCCAGCCCCGCCTCTAACCTCCAGTCCCCAGCCCTGAACCTCCAGCCCCCAGCTCTGCTGTCTACCCTTTGGGATCCCCCTTGGGCCTCTAGGAATGACCTGGAAGCGATCCAACCAGCGAGAAGTACTCTCAAAGGGCGAGTACCGGGAATCAACTCAGAGGGCGCGTAGGGTCTCTCTTGGGAGGTCAGGTGGCAAGCCCCGAGGGCGACCTGCTGCCAGGAAAGCACTCCTCAGGGACGGGTAGGCAGCGTCCGCTCCCGTAACCAGCTGAGAGTCGAGGTGCTTCCCCGCCCGTAGGTGGGTCCGCAGATCCCGCAGGCCGCATTGGCCTGGCTGCTGCGGGACGCCGAGGGGCTGCAGGAGCTGGCGCTGGCGCCGTGTCACGAATGGCTGTCGGACGAGGATCTGGTGCCGGTGCTGGCGCGGAATCCCCAGCTGCGGAGTGTGGCGCTGGCCGGCTGCGGGCAACTGAGCCGCCGCGCGCTGGGGGCGCTGGCCGAGGGCTGCCCCCGCCTGCAGCGCCTTTCGCTCGCGCACTGTGACTGGGTAGATGGGCTGGCGCTGCGCGGCCTCGCTGACCGCTGTCCGGCCCTTGAGGAGCTGGACCTCACCGCCTGCCGACAGCTCAAGGATGAAGCCATCGTGTACCTGGCACAGAGGCGCGGCGCAGGCCTTCGCAGCCTCTCGCTGGCGGTCAACGCCAATGTGGGGGACGTCGCCGTCCAGGAGTTGGCTCGCAACTGCCCGGAACTCCAGCACCTCGACCTAACCGGCTGCCTCCGGGTTGGAAGCGACGGTGTCAGGTGCCTGGGCCTGGGGTCGGTGGGATGGGAGGAGGGCAATCAATTAGCCTCTGGGGGTCGGGGCGGGCTGTAGTTGTCGAAAGGCAGAACTGGGGTTTCTGTATCTTCCTGCTACCACGGTACCCCCATTCTGAACAGGAAGGGCCTCTAGGAATGCCTAGGCCAGAGAGCCCACAGTTTAAAAACTTTTTTGAACCAGTATTTACACATTGGGAGATTCCACATACAGAGTACAAAAGTCAGATTTCTGGCTGTTCTTCAACAAGGGGAAAACCTTGCAATCCTGGGCACAGCTGAGAAGCAGGTTCCCTGTTTCAGAGACAGGAAGTCTCCGGTTCACTGGACGCATTAAATGCATGACCCCAAACCGGGTCTCCTCCCTTCTGTACGGAGGGAAGAAGTATACCCCGAACTGGAGGGAGACAGGGGCTTTGCCGGCTCCCCCACCGTGGGTGTAGCGGCTTCATGCCCCTCACCTCACCCGGCTCCTCCCCCAGGACGCTGGCCGAGTACTGCCCCGCGCTGCGCTCGCTGCGGGTGCGGCACTGCCACCATGTGGCCGAGCCCAGCCTAAGCCGTTTGCGGAAGCGCGGCGTGGACATCGATGTGGAGCCTCCGCTTCATCAGGCCCTGGTGCTGCTACAGGACATGGCAGGCTTTGCACCCTTTGTCAACCTGCAGGTCTGACCCGCCTGCCGATGGGCACAGCTGGACTGTGTGGCGGGGCCTCACTGTGAACCGTAGGGAAACTGAACTGTGGGGGCCAAGCCTGAGAGGCCAGTGCCCTGCCCTACCCTGGAGCTTCAAATAAAGAGCTTTTTACCCCTTCTTGCCTGGAGCTGCTGCCCTGTTGGAGATAGGGGATGTGAGGCTGGGAGAGACAGACACAGTACTCCAGCACCCCAGCTGTGAAATGACCAGAATGCACTCACACCTTCCTGGGGCTACCTTTACTGTACCCATGGCAGCTCCAAGAGGAGGTTAACACTGTGGAGCGAGGAAGTAGGGAAAGACTGGGGGACAGGAGTTACGGCGGCCCCTGTGTGGAGGTGTAGGGCTCCTGCATCCCTCTGGGATCTGAGCCTAGACGGCTCCGGCAGTCTGGCGAGTGCCTCAGTGGAAGCGGTACTTTCTGGCTGGCTTGAGGTTGATGTATGTGGCCTTCATCTCCTCAGCCTCAGGGTTCCGCACATCTTTGAATCGCTCCCCTTTGGTGCTCACTACCTGGTTGTCGATGTATCGGATCAGCTTCTTGGGAGCCTGTCAGGCAATCAGGTAGTGAGTAGCAGAAGCCAGGAGACAGTTGCACCCACTCCATGACCCTAGGAGCTGCGACCGTCTCACCTCCTTAGGAGCCATAGGCCGGTGAATCTTCTGATCCTCTGCGCTATCCACCATCATGTACCTGCCAAAAACTTGGCTGGGTGAAGCTCCTGCCACCCTAGGAAAACCCTCTAAGGGCAGGGCCCGGCCCGGCCCGGCCCAGCCCAGCCCAGACTCACTTCTGCAGGATGAAAGACTTCAGCTCATCCTTTTGGGGGCCTCTGAGGCGCCTGGGCAGGTCCTGCAGAGAGGGGAAGCCTGTCTAGGGCCTAGGGTACCAGCAGGAAAAGCAAATGGGGATAGGCTAGGGGCAGGGGCTTAACACTAAGGTGGAACATAGCTGAGGTTACATGGGGTTGGGGGGCCGTCTAGCAGAGGATACCTGGTTGGGGCCATCCCAGGCTGGAGGCCCCTCCTCCTTCCCCTCTACCAGCATCTGCACAGCTTCTTCCAAGTCCCCTCGAGCTTTGGCCAACACCCACTGGGCCTGCTCCACCGAACAGGTAGGGAACACCTCCAGAAGTACGTCCACCCCTGGCAGCAGTTCCTCCTCAGCGCCGGATGCCTGTGGGCATAAATGTTGACAAGAGGCAATACTTCCTCCTTTCCAGGGCCCTAGCTCCCTCGTCAGTACCCTCCTCTACCAGTACCTCATCTTGGGTGTCCCCAGCAGCAGTCGGAGAAGACATCGTCTCTTCTTTGAGCCGCTGCAGAGGCTCTGGGGAGACAGATACCTGACCTTGGACCTCAGAGCTCTGTGGTTTCAGGTTCTCTTAAAGAGGCAGAAAGAGCAACAGGTTTGCCAGGGCTTTGGAGGATGGGGGTTTGAGTCACCCAAGTGCCCGATTCCCAGACTCACCTTTGTTCCTGGCACCACTCAACTGCCCTGAGAGCTT